GTAGATCTTCTTTCAGCCCAGATCCCCTGGCACTAGTCCTTGACCCTGATGCACACTAGGCTTGAGTTGTCACCATGCTCAGCATCTCAATTCACAGGATATTACAGCTGGAAACTCAGAATCCAGAGTCCGCCTCTGCTTTTCCAGAGATAAGTGGCACTTGGTGGTGGCAAAGCTGAGGCTAACACCCACAACTGCCACCCAAAGTGCTCCTTAGCAGCGAAGCTGGCTTTGACTTCCTTGCTTTGGACTCATCAGGAAAGACCAGTCCCTGGAGAAGGACATTCTGTTTGGCAGCACAGAGGGTCAGTGAAAATGAGAGAGGCCCTCAAAGAGATGAACTGGCACGATAGCTGCCACAGTGGACTCAAGCATCCTCATGGTCACACAGGGGGCACAAGGCGGGGGAGTGTTTCATTCTGTTACATGTAAGGTCACCACGAGTGGGAGCCACCTGGAGGGCAACTCATAATGACAACACAATGTTTACGCTCACCCCCTGCTCCTTTCCCTTGGGGACAGAAGGTGGTAGCTGGCCATACAGGTTCCATGAGGGAGAATTAATTGCAAGAATAGAATCTAGAATCCGCTGGTCACCAGACCCAACATGTGCCTGCAGTTGCATTACTGAGAGCACACTCACAGGTTTTCACCCCCGTAGCCCAGGAGATCTTGTCTGCTATATCAATTATATCCATTAAAAAATACCGCGTCTTCTCTCTTTGTTCCTCTGTTCAACATAAGACCCATCAGAGCTCTCGCGTGACGCAGGATCATGGGGAACACACACTGACAGCTGGCAGGCAGCCAGAGCCCAGCAGTTGGGGCTTTACTGTGCTCAGCGTGCATTTCAGGGTTCAGTGTGAAGCTTCCACTCAGGAAGGAGGAAGAGACGGGCCCCTTCTGGAATGTGCGGGGCCTGCTGGGGGCATTTTGCATCAGACGATACGTAATTTCTCACATACCCTGTGAAGCATTCTCTCTCCCTGGAATGCCTCCCCTGGTTCATTGCTCAGGCATAAAGCTCTGTTCAGTAAATGAAACAGAGATCTTTAAAACTCCTCACTATACGAGCTCTGGTAGCATAGTGGCTA